ATTTCCTCTGCAGGGACAGTGACAGGGGTGCGGGCAGCCTCCTCTGCTCCATCCCGAAGCCTCTGAAAGCATCTGTGCCTCGACCGAAAGACAGTCACAGCAGTTCACCGATTTTTACACAATGGCATTCAAAGACAAAAAAAACTGTGTGAGCGCATGTGAGCATGGTCAATCATATCTGACTCTGCGACCCCATGGACTGTGGCCCACCACGCTCCTCTGTCCATAGGATATTCTAGGCAAGAATACGGGAGTGGTTGCCATTTCCTCCTTCAGGGGATCTTTCCAACCCAGGGATCAAATCAGCATCTCTTGCACTGCAGGCGCGTTCTTTACCACTGAGCCATCTGCAAAGCCCCAAAAGCTGTGTACATCTAAATGTAAAACAGAACTCTGCACTCCACAGACACCGTTCGACGGTCTGCTCACAACCTCTCTCGGCGAAGGACAAGCTGAGAAGCATAAAGAGGTCAAGGAGACAGTGGCCAGTAAGTAAACAGTGGCCAGTTTTGGAGGATTTACAGTCATCTGACACTACAACTCAAAAACAAACTCTCTAACTTAAAGCATCCAGACTCTTTTCTGAGTGAGCAACTCTCAAAATATCTTAACAACTTCCTCATGTTAAAGATGCGGGGTTATGGACATTTTCACAAAGGCTTCTTCTTACACGGCAAAACAAGAAATGGCATGAGAAATCCAGGCAGAAAAAGGGAAAAACATTAAGACTTCTGCATTCTTTTCAGAATATATTTATAATTACGATCTGTCTACTGAATGGTTTTATGATGCTGATAAAATAACTTTTTCTTAGTGCTTTCCAACTTCTTCTCTTAGCAAATACTGATAGCACCATCCTCTAAATTTAAGCTGAATAAAGACATTTAAAAATTCTTGCACATGGTGTTTCAAGCATTCATAAACGTTTTAAAACTGAAACATTCAAATATTGGGGGGCTTTGAAGAATTATCCTATTTAAAATTCCTTCTATTATTTCCTTGTACCTTCGTAAAAAGGGTGTTAGAACTAAGGGTTCAAGCGAGTTCATTAAAATACTTCAGGTCTGTTTCACCTTCCAGAGTTCCTTAGCTGTGTCAAGACCTCTAGTGTCCCTGTAGTCTTCCCTTCCTCCTGTCTGCACATTTTATCACTCACTCTCTCTTCCTTAAAATGTAGGGCCCAGAAGTAATGTAACTGCTGTGAATGAAATACTTTTCTGAAGAGATGATTCCATCAAATCGTGGCTTACATTGAATTTGTAATGAATTAAAGCCCCCCAGGTCTTTCGCAGAAACCACAACCAAATTAGGGCTTATCCAATAAACTTCTTCCCAGCCACTCTTCTGACCTGAAATGCAGGGCTGTATTATTGTTCCTGTTTATTCAATCTTGTCTAGTTGGGTTTGCTTGGCATGCCAATAAAATTCTATTTGAACTAGGTCCACCTAGTCCCTGAGAGAACTCATTTTTCAAGACTAACTCTCTTTTGGGATGATTCATTCTAAGTTAAGAAATAGTTTAGGAACAGAAAAAATTAAACAGGACTTTTCAGTCTTAGGAAGAGTGGGAAAAAGTTGGAAGGAGTTAGTCACGGAGCTTAAATTTCTCATATTGATCTGGATGAGCTTGTTTTTAAAGCTCACACAATTTCTCATTCACAACTAAAATAATGCAATATTTAAAAAATATATTTGTGAAAATGACGCACATAATTGAATGACAGTCACCAACATATATGAAACATTTATTTACTGGACAAGCTATGAGCTCAACTTTGTTATCATTATCTCAGTTAAACACCACAATCATCCTAGAAGGGAGGTAGTATTTACATCTTTTTACCGAAAAGAGAGGGGAAAAAAAAAAGCTTAGAGAAGCTACTCAAAGACTTGACAGTGTGCAAAGTTTTGTTGGTTTTAATTAATAAAAGCTGTGTAAGCATTTTTGTGATAGTTTACTAAAAGTGGGGAAAAATATAAATAGAAACTGGAGATAATTGTTTTCTGATGACTGCATAAGCATTTGCTTCAAGTAATTTTGCCTAATTTAGTATACTATCACAATTACAAGACAGTCACCAAAAATCTGAATATACTATTTATTTAGAATGGATATGATTGAAATAGATATCCAGTATTGGGATAATCTAAAACAAAGACATTCCCTTAATAAGAAAATTACAAGTAACTGATTCCTTATTGTCAGGAACTCTTTTTAATTCTGGCTCATCTTTCATTTTGATTCTTTGTCCAATTAAAATGGAGCCATTAATTATCCATTTAGCTCAGTCTTTAAAGGGGTTATTTCTCTCTTGAGTTCTTTAGGTTTTTTTTTTGTATAGAACCAAAATGTGGATCTTCCAAAAACCCAGATAAATCATGAATCAGAGTAAAAGGAAAACAAATTATTAATACCCTCTCCAATAAATATAATTGAAATGAACTGATTTAAGTATTCTGCATCTCTGAAATACATATAGAATCTAAAGTAATAAAAACTCTCAACACACGCAGAGCATTACCTGAAGTCAGAGAATGAACAGCTAATAATCAAGTGGAGAAGGTGAGTTAAGAGCGCCACTCCTGTTTTAAAGCTGTCTGCTCTTCAGATAATACCCAGAGTGGAAGAACAAACTGGAAAAAGATAGCTGACACCTGTGGTTAGACAATGCTAAAGTACAGACGGCCACAGACCTTCCTGTGGAGAAAGGTAGGCAATCTTCCTCCCAGGGCTGGCATCAAGGATACAGGGACTGTGTAGTCACAAGAGGCCCATGGCCAGGAGGGCTCCAGGCTCAGAAGGAAGGGCTTCTTGTTCTGCCCTAGCCAGGAACCTCAGTCACTCTCTTCCTCTCTTCCCACATCCAGTCATCCCCAAGTTATGCTGACTCTGTATTCTAATTTCTTCTTTTCCATTTAAACTTACCACTGTCTTCTCCCAGACTTAAGTAGCAGCCTCCTATGTGGCCTCCCTCCTTTGAATCTATCTAAAAACTATCCTCTAAGTTGAATGGTCTTTCTAAATGGCGTATCTGATCCTGCATAAAATCACCGATCTCCTGAAAATAATCCCATGGCAACTCATTGATTTGAGCAAGAGTGAGCCTATTATTTCCTGGGCTCAGCACCTGTACTTCTTTCAGCAATATTATGGCTCTCCTTCCTGGGATTCTCCTACTGTTACCACCTGCAACGGTATCCGTCCCATAGCTGGCACCTGACCCAAGCCGGGCAAATCGGAACATTCTTCTGGGAGTTTGCCAGGGTGGAGGAAGCTGCAAGATGTGAAGATCCAAAAGCCTGTCAACATCCATGATTCCTGCCAAGTAGAGAAGGCTGCCAAAAGCCAAAGTCAGTAATAAAAAATGGAGGGTCTTGGCACTTTGAGTTTCTGGTTCAGCCGACACCTCTACGTTTCTGTTTTAACTCTGGTTTGGACTGTCTCAGCCAATAAACTCCTCTTTTTGTCCAAGTGAGCCGAAGCTCTGTTTCTGTCCTTTGCTGTTACACACGACAAGGCACTTCATTCATTGGTTCCCACCAATCAACTGGTTCCTAAACAACAATTTCGCTGTTGTTGTTTAGTCGCTCAGTCGTGTCTCTTTTGAGACCCCACGGACTGTAGCCCGCCAGGCTCCTCTGTCCATGGCATTCTCCAGGCAAGAATACTGGAGTGGCTTGCCATTCCCTTCTTGACCCAGGGATCGAACCCAAAATGCTTAAATTATTCCACAAATTCAACCTGCTGGGTCAGAGCCCTTCCTCTGCACACACAAGTCTCTTTGCACCTCCAGCTCCAACTCTGAGGTCACCTTCTCAGTGAAATCTTTCCTGATTCCCCTGTTGAGTCAGGCACCCATGTCTTGCTTTCCAGTAAACTAGATGTAAGTTCTAGCTCTTATCACAACGGACTGTAACTGCCCTTATGGGTGACCAATTTGCCCTAATAATGGCAGAGGACAGAGGTACGTACTTCGGACTCTGGAACCCAACTGCCAAGCTTCCCAGTGAATAGCAGCAATTTAGTAGATTCCATGCCTCAATTTCTCATCCATAAATGAGAGATGGAACAGCGTCTACTTTATAGGACGTCTGGGAAATGAGGTGATAAGAACTTACAACAGTGCCCAATAACTGTTAGCTATACCATCAGGATCCTTGATGGCAAAAACTGAAGTTATTTTTGCATTTCCAACACAAATGGCGCAAAGTCTCTTCCAAGGAATGACTCAACTATTTGTTTGCTTGGCTTCTAAACAGCAAGCCAAAGGAGGGCGGGATACGAAGGCCCCGCATCTAACAAGTGTCACAGAGGAAGTCATACACAGGTGCAGACCCAGAGTTTGCCAAGGGTAAATGAAGCGGGGTCGCCCTGACCCCTTCCAGGCAGCTGCTCACCTCCTACACAGAGGAAACGCTCAAGAATGCCCCGCTTTCCGATAACCTAGGTTTCCCCCTTTTGCAGAAAGAGTTCACTGATTTCACCGGAGCTCCTAATTATCACTACACTGAGCTTTAGAAAAACGTTTCCTGGGAAATCTCTTTAAGCAGGCGGAGATAAAGAAGGAACTGAGGTCTGCCAAGAGACCTACTGCCTGACAGACGGACTCGAGAGTACGTGCCTCGAACCACTTGCAGACTCGCACGTAAGACGGCCACTTAACTGCCTTTCAATAATTCTCAGCAGGCGAAAGAAGGTCTAAGGATTCGGGGCCACGGTGTGCCACTGCTCACCAGGTAACTCACTTATTTAGAAACGAATTAAGAGAACGCGTTTTGTTTCAGCAACCGCGGAAAAGGCCAGAAAAAGGGAACTGAAGGCTGCAAACCGCGGAGACTTGGCGTCACCTTCCCGGCGGCCGCCCCCTTAGGACCCGAAGCCGCCCGGCGTCGAGGACCGACGTGGGCGCGGCCCCCACCCCGGGCGGGGCTTCCTGGGCGGTGGGGCTCCCTCCTTCCCCGTCCCCACCCGCCTGCGGCCCTGCCGCGAGCGACAGTACCCGAGGATAGCTCCGGATTCGCGGCGCTCATCTCAGCCCAGCTTCTGGCCAGCAAGACAGGGACGAGGAAAGAGAGGAGAGCCATGCTGCTCGGGACTAACGCGGGTGCTCCCCAGCACCACCGCGGGTATACACCCGCGCGGACCTCGGGCTGAGGTCTTGCGTCACTTCCTCCTCCGCGGACCATCCCTCCAGCGGGAGGCGGGGCGTGGACGGGAAAGTGGGGCGCGGACAGCGAGGTCGAGACCAGGACTGGGCGGCCAGCTGGCTGGGAGGCGGGGCCAGGGCCTGGAGGCGGGGCCTGGGCGGGGAGGGCGGCCTGCGTGGGTTACTAGGGGGCCCGTGAGGGGAGGCGAAGGTGGCCTAGGAGGTTGAATGGGGTAGGCGAGCTGGAATACAGCGGGAAGTCAAAGAGAGTTCGCCTCTGTGGAAGGTCGGCGTTGAGGCACGGCAGTCTGTGGTGGCGATCTTGGCTCACCCGCTTGTGAGCACCTTGGGTCCAAACGTTATGTTCTTTAAGCTTGGCACTACTTGCTGTAATTCATCTTCCCCTTTTTTGCAGTGTTCTAGGATTGCTAGGATCAGTCCTGGGTGTTCATTGGAAGGACTGATGCTGAAGCTGAAACTCCAATACTTTGGCCATCTCATGCGAAGAGTTGACTCATTTGAAAAGACCCTGATGCTGGGAGGGATTGGGGGCAGGAGGAGAAGGGGGCGATGAGATGGCTGGATGGCATCACCGACTTGATAGGCATGAGTTTGAGTAAACTCCGGGAGTTGGTGATGGACAGGGAGGCCTGGCGTGCTGTGATTCATGGGATCGCAAAGAGTGGGACACGACTAAGCGACTGAACTGAACTGAACTGAACTGAGGATTGCTAGAAACTCCAATACTTTGGCCATCTGATGCGAAGAACTGACTCATTTGAAAAGACCCTGATGCTGGGAAAGATTGAAGGCGGGAGGAGAAGGGGACGACAGAGGATGAGCTGGTTGGATGGCATCACCGACTCAATGGACATGAGTTTGAGTAAACTCCGGGAGTTGGTGATGGACGGGGAGGCCAGGCATGCTGCAGTCCATGGGGTGGCAAAGAGTTGGATGCGACTGAGCGACTGAACTGAACTGAGGATTGCAGAACTTTGTTCTAAGCCACAGCCTAGCCATAATTCTTCCTTTACCACCTATTGGCCTTTGGCATCAATGCCTCGGGGAATTTGAGAGTTTCCGGCAGAAAGAGCCCTTACATGGCTTCTGTAATCCCTGCATTTGTAGTTGAGGAACCAGAAGCTTTGCCGGTGAAATGGTTTGTGCAAACTGTCACAGCCCAAATCTAATTGGCTCGGGCAAGAACTACTTTATTCTTGGAGGAAAAAGAACTTGCATTACGTTTTCAGCTATTAAATAGCATTCTCTCATCATAAGATCTGCCCTCTTAGCTCTTTGATCACATCTCCTATTACTCTGCATTGCCTCACCTATTCTACTTCAGCCACATTGGCCTCTACCCTTCTTAGAACATTCCAGGATCATGCTTAGATATGCATATGGCTAACTACCTAGCTTGCCTTAAGTGTCTGCTTATCATGGCTTTCTGCAAAATTTTGAAATTGCAACCCATCTTCCCATCCTCTTTACCCTGCCCTGCTGGTTTTTTGTTTTGTGTGTGTATGTGTGTGTGTGTGTGTGTGTGTGTGTGTGTGTGTGTAAGGGGCATTTATCACCTTCCCTCAGGTGATATTCTGCTCTATAAGATGTATATTGATGTTTATTTTCTTGTCTTTGTAGAATGTAAGTTCTGTAGGGCTGAAATCTTTGGGACTCATTTAGTATTTGTTGGATGAAAGAAGGCATGATCACACTAAAATTAAAAATTTTTTAAGAAAAACATTATGAAGATGTTGTACAAAGTAGAGAGAAAATGTTAGCAAGATCACTTTATTAATAATAATAAATCCCTTAGCTCAGTATTTCTGAAAATCAGTATGAACAACCTGGGATCTTGTTAAAATGCAGATTTGGATTCAATTGGTCAGATTCAGGTTGGGCCTTGAGAGTCTGCGTTTGAAACAAAATACACAAGGAATGCCAATGGCCATAGCTCTAAGATCATACTTTGAATAGGAAGGGTTTAACTCAAATAGACTGTTTGGGGGAATATTTTATTTGTTGAGTTTATGATGTTCACCATCTTAGTCTGCTTGGGTGGTTATAACAGGATGCCACAAACTCAGTAGTTTATAAACCACAGGATTATATTTCTCCTAGTCTGGAGGCTACAAGTCCAAGATCAGAATGCCAGCATGGTCAGGTTAGGGCTGCAGGACTCTCCTGAATGGCAGGCTTCTAACTTTACTCACTTGACAGAAGAGGGAGGGATCTCTCTTTTGTAACGTGTTAATTCCATTCCTGAGGGCTCCAGCCTCATGACTCCAGCACCTCCCAAAGGCCACCTAATATCATCACCTTTGAGGGATAGAATTTCAACATGTGAATTTTGGTGGTATATAAACAGTCAGACCATAGCCCTCCCTTTATAAAAGTCACCTTCTAATCAGTGCAAGGATACAAGGATAAGTAAGAAGTCCCCTGGTGGCTCAGACAGTAAAGCATCTGCCTGCAATGCGGGAGACCCAGATTCAACCCCTGGGCTGGGAAGATCCCCTGGAGAAGGAAATGGCAACCCACTCCAGTACTCTTGCCTGGAAAATTCCATGGGCAGAGGAGCCTTGTAGGCTACAGTTCATGGGGTTGCAAAGAGTTGGACACCACTGAGCAACTTCACTTCACTTCACTTTGCTGTATAGGAGTTTATGAAGCATAATGTTCAATTCAATTGAACATAATATTCAATTCAGTTCAGTAAATATTTTTGTAGTAGCCATCAAAGGTTGAATTACCCATGGAGTAGACTCTCCGGGGAGATAGGTGTCCAGACATGCTCTTGTGTGCTTTTGGGATTGACTCCTGTGAAAGGGAGGTGTAGGAAACAGGATTGAGCAGAGGATGATGAGCTATGATGCCATCCTTACAAAGACTTCAGCTGATCCCTTCCAGGCCTTTTAGAGGTATCTTTGAGTTGACATGAGTGGCTGGGTCTTCAACCCCAAGATTGATTAGTCATTGAATAACAACCACGCAGAAAAGGAACATGTTTGGGGTTGCCTGTTTCTTTCAGTGAGGCGTTCTCTTCAAAAAGATACATATACCCCCAGTGTTCATTGCAGCACTATTTACAATAACCAGAACATGGAAGCAACCTCAGTTCAGTTCAGTCACTCAGTCGTGTCCAACTCTTTGTGACCCCATGAACCGCAGCACACCAGGCCTCCCTGTCCATCACCAACTCCTGGAGTTTACCCAAACTCATGTCCATTGAGTCAGTGATGCCATCCAACCATCTCATCCTCTGTCATCCCCTTCTCTTCCTGCCCTTAATCTTTCCCAGCATCAGGGTCTTTTCAAATGAGTCAGCTCTTCACATCAGGTGGCCAGAGTATTGGAGTTTCAGCTTCAACATAGTCATTCAGTGAACACCCAGGACTGATCTCCTTTAGTATGGACTGGTTGGATCTCCTTGCAGTCCAAGGGACTCTCAAGAGCCTTTTCCAATACCACAGTTCCAAAGCATCAATTCTTCTGCCCTCAGTTTTCTTTATAGTCCAACTCTCATATTCATATATGACTACTGGAAAAACCATAGCCTTGATTAGATGGACCTTTGTTGACAAAGTAATGTCTCTGCTTTTTAATATGCTGCCTAGGTTGGTCATAACTTTTCTTCCAAGGAGTGTCTTTTAATTTCATGGCTGCAATCACTCTCTGCAGTGATTTTGGAGCCCAGAAAAATGAAGTCATCCACTGTTTCCACTGTTTCCCCATCTATTTGCCATGAAGTGACGGGACTGGATGCCATGATCTTTGTTTTCTGAATGCTGAGCTTTAAGCCAACTTTTCTACTCTCCTCTTTCACTTTCATAAAGGATGGTGTTGTCTGCATATCTGAGGTTATCGATATTTCTCCCAGCAATCTTGATTCCAGCTTGGGCTTCTTCCAGCCCAGCTGGAAGATGTACTCTGCATATAAATTAAATAAGCAGGGTGACAGTATACAGACTTGACATACTCCTTTTCCTATTTGGAACCAGTCTGTTGTTCCATGTCCAGTTCTAACTGTTGCTTCCTGACCTGCATACAGGTTTCTCTAGAAGGTGGTCTGGTGTTCCCATCTCTTTCAGAATTTTCCACAGGTTAGTCAATTTTCCACAGTCAAAGTCTTTGGCATAGTCAATAAAGCAGAAGGAGATATTTTTCTGGAACTCTCTTGCTTTTTCAATGGTGCCCATCAACAGATGAATGGATAAAAAAATTATGGTACATATATAGAACGGAATATTAATCATAAAATAAAACGAATTTGAGTCAGTTATAGTGAGGTGCATAAACCTAGAGAGTATTATACAACGTGAAGTCAGTCAGAAAGAGAAAAGCAAATGTTATATATTAACACATATATATGGAATCTAGAAAAATGGTGCAGATGAACTTATTTTCAGGGCAAGAATAGAGAGGCAGACATAGAGAATGGACTTGTGGGCACAGCAGGAGAGAAATAGTTTGAGATGAATTGAGAGAGTAACATTGACATATATACACTACCATGTGTAAAATAGGTAGCTAGTGGGAGCTGCCAGAGAGCTCAGCTTGGTGCTTAGACATGACCTAGAGGGGCGGGATGGGGGTGGGGAGGGAGTGAGATTCAGGAGGGTGGGGATATATGTGTACACTCACTTTATTGTACAACAGAAACCAACGTGACATTGTAAAGTAATTATCCTCCAATTAAAAATAAATTAAAAAGTGAAGCATTCTCCAAAGAGAGCTGGCAGCTGAGGGTGTCTGCCAGTAGCACTCCCAGCAGCAGGGCGAGAATGGTACTAAATTTCCTATTCCTAGGCAGAGCTCCGCAGTCAACATCTGCTGCAGTATCTATTTTTTGGCAGCATTATGCTAGTCACTTGGAGACTAAAGTTACTTGTTAATTCATTAAATGTTGTTGAATGCCACTGTGTATATCCAACACTGCTACACAATGAGGTGTAGACCTAAGCAAGACAGAGATGGCCTCTGTCTTCATGGAGCTTACAGTCTACTGAGAGCTTGAGCAGGTATTAATCTAGCTATTGTTGTCGCTTAGTCACTTAGTGAGTCTTGACTTTTTTGCAACCCCATGGACTGTAGACCACCAGGCTCCTCTGTCCATGGGATTTCCCAGACAAGAATACTGGAGCGGGCTGCCAGTTCCTCCTCCAGGGGATCTTTCTTACCCGGGGACCAAACCCATATTTCATGCGTTGCCAGGTGGATTCTTTACCACTGAGCCACCTGGGAAGCCTAATAAAGCTATTATAAGTACTGAAATTAATAATAATAATAAGTAATAATAATAATTAATAAGTACTGAAATAAGTGTTATCAAAGGGAGTGATGGGTTTATGGGAGCATGAACAGGAACTTAGTCTAAGTTTTAAGGACTCTTTAGGTGATTACAACTGTGTTAGGACCTGAAGGATAAAAGGGTATTAGCCTGAATAAAGCTGGGTGATAGGGGAATCACAGGCTAGTTAAGAGAGGTAAGAGGAAGATCAGTAGAATAATTTAAAAATTCGGTATATAAATCTTATATAGTCACACAGAAGTCACATGAGCAGTGCCAGTTTCCTTGGTAAACATCTAATGCCTAATGGCCAGAGAATGTCCAAGTATATATTGGTCCCCATTATATCCTCTGGTGAGTTTTTAAAACCAAGAAAACTAATGTGGGGTGAGGGATGGTTAAATCTAAGGTCAAGTGCATAGAGAAGTGCTGCTCAGGAGTAAAGCTACATTTTGTAGGCCACATTCAACATATCCTAGAGGAAGTTAAATAAAGGCCAAATAAAGTAATTTTAGAAGTTAAAACTATGTTCTAATGGGAACGGGGACAGGGTGTACGGCAAAAACTACACTTTTGGCTCCTGGCAGTGTGCATTTCCTTCCCTGTTTCTCTAGCACAAAAATGTCTGTCAGTTTCTCTGTGAAGGAGACAGACTGAAAAGTTTGTGGCTAAAGCATCTAGTTCTGAATTCTGATTCTATAAATAAATAAATAATTCTATAAATTAAAGCCAGTATGCCCTCCACACTGCTCCTTACTTAACTGTGTTTTTGTCATTATATGTCCACAGACATGTAAGCACTGAAATTATGGCGATCCTTACAAAGAGAAGAACAGGATTATTGGAGCCTAAGTTTTCTCTGTCTTCCACTAGAAAATAAGCTCAGTGTTTTCTTCACTGTTGTAGTATTATTCCATTAATATTGAATATTATGAGTGGACAAATATATGAATAGACAATGCAAGCTTGTGGGAATGTAGCAGGTAGAGCTAAACTTACAGTTGATCAGCTATAATTGGATCATTGATGGGAATTTAGACACATGTGGATATCATACCATACCAAGTACTATCCATTCTCACCCTGCACACAGCCTCATTTTGAGGAAAGCTCTTATGCTGATGTCTGATCGTATCAGATCAACCCCTGACTCCAAGGCAGCTATCCATAGGCTATAGTCTTCTAGGAGATGGCTTGTTTCGGAGCATTGCCTAAGATCAGTGCCATATGCTAGATGCTGACCGTGGCAAGCATTGTTCATCGACTGATTGCTAATAACCTTTCTTCTTGTTTCCTTCCCACTATAGAGGCTATAAAATCTCAGAAGTCACTTTCAGAACCCTCATGGAAGCAGCATAGTCATATGACATAGTTCTGGTTCACGAGACATAAGCAGAAGTCTGTGAG